GGAATACATCCCCCGCTGGGATGGGTCCTCAGTCCTTTGTTCAGAGCTTCAGTTTGTAGCAAAGTCCCTCCAGAGGTCAGAAGCAGGACTGAAGACAAGATGGAGGAGCTGCAGCAGCTTTTTATATTCTCTTGCCATGTGGTCTTTCTTTGCTCCAAAGACAAGCTGTCCAGCACACGGCCTGGAAAAACCTTCTGTCCATGGGCCTGTCCCTGCCTTGCTAGTTACAAGGCATATCTGCCTTCTCTCCATGGGTCCATTGTATAGCTGATGGTCCTTAATGGGCCATCAAGCAGGCTAGGCAGAGCTCACACCAACTTGTCTAGGATGTTTCCAGAAGTATAGCACAAGTTTGAAATACCGACAGTCTAGAGCCAATACTTATAGCTTCAAATACAAAAATGCTCTATGCACCCAGATAGCGTAATCATAACCAGCCAACCATCACCTTGTCTTAAAAAGCGACAGAGTCCTGTGGCACCTTATAGACTAACAGACGTATTGAAGCACAAGCTTAGACATCTTATTTGGCGCCCTTTATACAAGATCTGGTGCCACTACAGGACCTTGGTTGCAACAATGATCTATATGGTCCCAGTTCATGTCCATAACGTCACACCAGCCCTCTGCTGCACACCGGGAGCGGGGGGCTCAGAACGAGCAGCCGCTTTGGGACATTGCAGGGGGTGGCCCCAGCTAAGCGTGCAGGGGGTCTCCGGGCATGGAGTGGCGGAGCCCTGAAACGGCCTCAGAGAGCAGCTCCAAGCGCACCCCATGGGCAATGGAGCAGCCATGCCAGAGCACGTGGGGTCCCGCCCTGCCCAGCCCAGGCCCCGAGAGACACAACCCGCCCAGCAGTCCCGTGAATGCTCCCCTCGCACGGGCCTCCTCAGCATTGCACAGCCGTGAGCTCCATTTCCCCTTGTGATCACAAGGCCTGAGCCAGAAACCAGCACCCCACCCCAAAATAAAAGCAACGCGAGCCCTCCCCAAGACCCGGCCCCTGCACACTCCCCATGGGCGGCTGGGCCCGGGCAAGGCCCGTCCCCCGGAAGCAGCCAGCCGGCTCTGCGGGCACGATGCCCTGCATTGCAGAGGATCCGACAGACGCCATGCGCCCTAGAAACGGCCTGGCACCAAATCCCACAGCGCTGCCCTGTGAACGACCCTGTCAGCTCCCTGAGGGCTTGCTGCTCCCTGCCCCAAACCTGCCACGGCCCAGCTGCCCACAGGCGCGATGCCGAAAACGGGGCAGCCCCAAGTTCCCGGCTAGCGGCCAGCACGTCTCACCGCGGGCTCCGCTGGAGCAGGGCAACGTGCCCTGTTGATGGCAGTTGCCCAGCGCAGGCTGCTCTGGGACAGATGGGGGGGACCTGTACATCACCCCAAACACACCGCTCCCTGTACAGCACTCACTGTCAGCGCTGCTGGCCCCGGGGGGGTGCTCTGGGCACCTGGTAACACTGAGTGCCCCCAGAACCCCAGGCCCAGACCCACAGGACACCCCAAGCCCAGGACACCCCAGGCGCAGGCCTGCAGGACACCCTCGCACCCTCCCTCCCAGCCTGCCAGGGCTGGTACCAGGAGCCCAGCGCATGCTCCCTGACGCTGGCCCTTGCACAGGTCCCTGGGGAAGTGTGTGTCCGTCCCCGTCCCACCACCGAACCTCCACTCGCCCGCCGGGCCCTGGGACCTCTCCCCGCTGCAGCTGCTGTGACACCCCACAAGTCCACCCTCTGTTCATTCCCCACCCTACCCCCACTGGCATTTGGGGGCCAGGCCCCCCAGCCGGGCTACATTACGGCCTCTGTGGAACTGCAGGTCCCAGCTGGCAAACCCCCGGCCTCGGCGTCTGTGTCTCCCCCAGCGCTGACCCCCCGGGCCCGGCAGGCGAGACCCTCTCTGGGGCCGGGAGTGCCCAGCGGCCCCGCGCAGAGCCCCACTCTAGAGCTCCCCCCAGCCCCAGCCCCGGGGGAAGCTTTGCCGTTCCCACAGGGAACTGGTGTCCCAGCCCTGCTGCCCTCAGGAAGTCCATCTGCCCCCCTCCCTCCCTCCATCCCCCTACACACCCTCCATCCTTCCACCCCCATCACACCCCTTCCTCCATCCCTCCATCCATCCCTCCCCATACACACCCCTCCATCCGTCTTTCCATCCACCCCTCCCTCCATCCGTCCCACTACACACTCTCCATCCTTCCACCCCCATATACACCCCTCCATCCATCCATCCATCCATCTCTCCCCATTCTCATCCCTCCATCACACCCCTCTGTCCATCCAGCCCCATACACACCCTTCCTCCGTCCTTCCGTCCCTCCATCCATCTGCCTCCATACACACCCCTCCGCCTGTCCTTCCACCCCCATCACACCCCTGCATCCATCCGTTCCCCTACACATCCCTCTGTCTGTCCCTCCATCCATCCGTCCCCATTCTCCCCCCTCCCTCTGTCCTTTGATCCCCATTCACACCCCTCCTATCTGTCTATCTATCTCCCATCCTATCCCTGCTCTCTCCTCACCTGCTTTCTCCTCCTCCATGTCCCGGCTCTCCCCGTGCTCCCCGCTCTCTGTCACCCCC